TCTTATATACTTAATAACTGTTTTAGTAAAAAAAAAAAAAAAAAAAATACAGAACAAAAGAAGATGAAATTGCTATCTCTCAAGTAAGAGCTCACTGTATCTGAACAGAGCTGTATTTGAAGTTTATTTTAATTCATTTTAAAAAGGGAGCCATGAGGGAGGGGGAGGGCATGGGAATGATTTGACGGTGATTGGTTAACTGCAAAGCAAATGAACTTTCTGGAATCTTTTCCAAGTCAATCTATATTCACTGATGTAACCCAGCGGGCATTTCTTCTTGTATTTCTGTTATTTTTTCCCTGACTTTTTAATTTTTTTTGGGGGGGGGGTCCAGTCGTGGGGCCTGAACTCTGGGCCTGGGTGCTGTCCCTCAGCTCTTCAGCTCAAGGCGAGCGCTCTACCACTTGAGCCACAGCGCCACTTCCAGCTTTTTTCTTTATGTGGTGCTGAGGAATCAAACCCAGGGCCTCAGGCATGCAAGGCAAGCGCTCTACCACTGAGCCACCTTCCCAGCCTCCACCATGGCTTTTTTTGTTGTTGTTGTTGTTGGTTGTGGAGCTTGAACTCAGGGCCTGGGTGCTGTCCCTCAGCTCTTCAGCTCAAGGTGAAAGCTCTACTACTTGAGCCACAGCACCACTTCCGATTTTCTGATGGTACTGAGGAATGGAACCCAGGGCTTCATGCATGCTAGGCGAGCACTCTACCACTGAGCCACCTTCACAACTCAAGTAGGTGTATTTCTAAGGATTAGTCAGTGACTTTCCCAATAGAGACAAAGGCACAGGAAACATGGAATGGAGGCCCTGAGCCATAGCGTATGGCTGGTGAGGAAGAGAACATAGATTTCTGTACCAGCCAGGTGCAGCTGGCTCACATCTGTCATCCTAGCTATTCAGGAGGATGCTTGTGAGAACTGCGGTTCGAAGCCAGCCTGGGCAGAAAAGGCTGTGAGACTGTCATCTCCAAAAAACTACTCAGAAAAAGCTGGAAGTGGCACTGTGGCTCATGCAGTAGAGCGCTAGCCTTGAGCACAAAGAGGTTTAGGGACAGTGCTTGGGCTCTGAGTTGAAGACCAGCACTGCCACCCCCCCCCCCCCAAAAAAGAAAAAGTTTCTGTGCCAGCCATGTCTGTAATTCCAGAAACTTTGCCTCACTTTTTTCAGGGCTGTTCTCCAGCCCTCAATCCTCCTCTAGCTCTACCTCCGGAGTAGCTAGGATTACAGGCATGTGTCATCACACCTAGCCCACCAAAATCATACATGTTTTTAGTCTCAAGGGGGAACCTCTCTGCTTCTCAGTATCCCTCCCCATTCTTTCCCATACGCAATTCCTTCTTTCTGCAGAAGGTGTGTGGAGGGGGTTAGGGGGTTCCTCACGAGGAGACAAGCAGTCAAGACACACCAGCCATGCAGAATGGATAGTGAAGCCCTTTGCTTGGTTCAACTACCCAGAAGAGGTGGGGGAGAGGAAGGATGCTATTCTTTTCCACCCGGTGTTTGCATCTCCTGGCTCTGCATCAAAGCCAGAGTGAATGAACGTCCCTCCTTCTGGCAGAAAAGGGTCTGCTTTGATTATCCAAAGGCTCAGATGAGGGTACTAAGGCCATGAACCCAGTTCTCTAGGCTGCACGATGTGACTCATCTCTGTGGGGACTGCTTGCGTTGTCTGCCTTTATTGGATGTCTTGGGCCTGGTAATAAATTCAGAGGATTCCATAGGCAGGAAGGATGTGGTGAAATGAACTCGGAGGTGAGAAAATCGGGTGTGTGTGTGGGAACACGGTCAAGGGCGACACAGTTTTACTGGTCGGTCTGTGACTGCCTTGAGAACTAAGAGCAGCTGCAACCTTCAAAGGGGCGAGCTGCTTTCTCTCTTTCCTTCTTCAACCAGCATCATCTACGTTTACTTAACTGTAGGTCGGCAAGTGGCCATGACATGAGCACCATGAAGGCGTGGCCACAGGCCCTGAAGTCACGTGGTTCACACACACACACACACACACACACACACACACACACACACAGATGAAACAGTAAAGGGCAAAGAAAACTAGGTAGGAGTGTTCTTTTTATTTCTCTTTGGTTTCTTAACACAAAGGACATGCGTTCTATAAATAAAGGATTTTTTTTTTCCTGTGAAACAATACATTTTGTGGGGTGGCAGGTATGTGTGTGATTTCTATTTTAAGTCACATCTCTGTGGTCAGAAGGCCAGTCCCTAGCTCTAATGTGGGCACCATCTCAGGGGACGCCCCAAAGAGAAGGTATTACAAGGTGAAACTCTCCAGAGTAGTGAGCCCCACAGTTCTTTGCTCTCAGTGGGCTTAGATGCGAAGGCCTGCCAATCACTAGGTCTGTCCCACTTCCGGCTGTGCCCTTTCCATGCTATCTTCTGGCGATGCATCTTCTCATCACCATAATAAAGAGCTACATCAGCCATTTTGCCTCAGACTGGGGAGACAGACTGGTTTGGGTGAGTGTGAAAATACCTGGTGTTTGCTCAAGGGTGCTGGCGGCCCAGATCAAAACCCAGGCTCCATCTCACTCGGAAGCCCTGATTTCAGATGTGGGGCTGTTTCTCACCTAGGAGATGGTGGTGGATTGGGGAAGTCATCTTGAGAAATGTGTGTGTGTGGGGGGGGGGGGGAGTCTAGGCACTGTCTTGAGAGCGTTTTTTCACTCAAGGATGGTGCTCTACTACTTGAGCCACAACCTACACTTCTGGCTTTTTGCCAATTTATTAGAAAGAAGAGTCCCATGGTTTTTTCCTGCCTGGGCTGGCTTTGAACCGAGATCCTCAGATCTCAGCCTCCCGAGTAGCTGGGATGACAGGTGTCGGTCACTGGCTTGACTTGATCTGGGTTCATCAGTGCTGCTTTTATTTCCAGGAGAGGGGCTCACGATAGTAAGATGAGCACTAGTAATGCTCCTTTTAGCAGGAGACAAAAACCCCACATGGTCCTTTTGAGTCTACCTCTGCAGGCAAACTGAATAAGAAAGATTGGAGCTCTATCTAGAGTTCAGGGAAAACTCTTATCAGACTATTGAGTCTTTTAAAATCAAAACATTTTCAAGTGCTTATAATAGAGGCCCAACTCCTAACTTCTACCAATCATCTTTTTTTCCCCCCCTGAATTCATGGCGATCACACACACCAGAAAACCTGACAGTTTACTGGGGGTAGAGAAATACACCAGATTTCACATTGTACATCCCCCCCTTTTTTTTTGGCCTGAGACCAGTACTTCAACTCAGTACATGATGCTCTTGCTCACTGGCTAGTGCTCTAGGAACCAAGCCATGCCTCCAACCCCACACTGTGCCTTTCTGAGCAAGCTTCCAGGCTGCTCCAAGGCAGGTGGCCAAGAACAAGAAACCAATCGGGTGGAGAATGGGACCCTAAGACCCAGGCTTGGGCTAAAAAGAACTGTCTCCTCTTTTAGTCTCTAGCTGGAAGAACTGTAGAAATACAGAGTTTGGCAGTAGCGGTGGAAAGGGTAGCTCCCTCGGCCAAGTGTGCTGGTAACAGAAAATGTCCTCTTGTGCTACACTGAGGTCCCATCTGGGGAGGTGGTGGTGGAGATGAGGAGGAATAGGTGGACGGTGAGGAGTCTCTTCACGAGGTCATCTGCCAAGATGACACAAAAAGAATTTGCAGCAGCGAGTTTCAGACTTCATCATTCTTTATGTCAGAGAGCCAGCCAGCTTTACTTGAATGTAAAGCTCCCATCTTTTTTATCCCTTTCTTTTTGTGCCAGTCCTAGGGCTTCAACTCGAGGGTGGGCATCGTCCCTGAGCTCTTCTGCTCAAGGTTAGCAATCTACCACTTGAACCAAAGCTCCACTTCTGGCTTTTTTTTTTTTTGTCGGTCGTGGGGCTTGAACTCTGGGCCTGGGCGCTGTCCTTCAGCTCTTCAGCTCAAGGCGAGCACTCTACCACTTGAGCTACAGCGCCACTTCCGGTTTTCTGGTGGTTTATTGGAGATAGGAGTCTCACAGTCTTTCCTGCTCGGGCTGGCTTTGAACCTCGGATCTCCGCCTCTCCAGTAGCCAGGATGACAGGTGTAAGTTAGTGGAGCCTGGTTAAAGCTCCGTCTTGCTGGTCAGTCTGCCAAGGGCTGGAGAGGAGTTGGGCCCCTGGATGGGTGAGTGGATGGATGGAAGAGCAGCGCAATGGCGGGACAGACAAGGTTACCATACCAAGCTAGCCCCTGGCTGGTTTAAGTTCTGGAGGTACAAAACTGCCCATGTGCTCCAGAAATGTCACAATGGGGACATCTATCTAAGGACGAGGAAGGGGCAAGAGGGAACTTGGGGGCAGGTAGGCTGTTTTCCTGCCGGTCAAAAAGGAATGTACGTGAGGAGGGGCGGGGGTTAACCATAAGGTTGTGCAGGGCCTTCTGCAAGGCCTGGGAAGATCGGCAAGAATTCAGGAGCCAATGGTGACAGAAGAGTCCTCCGAGGATGGGTGTGGAGGGAAACGGGTTAAAAGGGAGCACCTTGCTGCAGGACCGGCTGGGGGAAAAAAGAAAAAGCGCCGACTCCAGATGTGCCGGGGCTCGGAGGGAAAACCAAAAACAAAGAAAAACAACGACAACAAATCCACCCAGTGGCCCTGTGAGGCCTGGGGCCCCCTGGGATCCAAAGGTGAGGCCTGGCTCCTTGTTATCTTCGTGTTATTTAAAACAAACACAAAATAAAAATAAAATGATGTTCGTTTCGAAAGAGAAGCCGTGGTAGTTCCCGTTTCCTCCCGTCCCTTCGGTTTCTTCTGGGCAGGGGCGGGGTTAGACGCGGGGAAGGACTTCCTCGGTCCTCCTTCGCTTACCTGGAGCCCAGGATTAAACACAAAAGAAGAAAGAACAGAACGGAACGGAACGGAACGGAACGGAACACCCCCCTCCGCGTACCTCGCGCGCGGCCGCCGCGAGCACAGGCCGCGGGGCCGTCGGGGCGTCCTCTCCCCCCCGCCGCAGCCCGGGAGGGAGGCTCGGGCGTCGGCCCCCGCGCGGCGGCGCCGTCCCCGTCCCCAGGACCCGGAGGCCGCGGCCAGGATCCGGCTGAAACACCTGGAGAAGCAAACGCCCGCCCGCCGCGCCTCCAGCGGGCGCGTGGGCCCACCGCCGCTTCCGGTCGGAGCCCACTTCCGGCCCGCCCCGACTTCCGGCCCCACTCGGCTCCCGGCCCGCCCCTGCCCGCCTCCCCACCGGAGGGCGCGCCTGCGCAGTGCTCAGATGGTGAGCAGCGGGACGCAGCCCACGCCGACCCCGCCCTCGTGGCACGCCATCGGGGCGGCGAACGTCCAGCGCTCCGTCTCCGGGTCGTACGTCTCCACCGAGCTCAGGTTGGACTGTCCGTCGTAGCCGCCCACGGCGTAGAGGCGCCCGCAGCTGGCCACCAGGGAGACCCGGCTCCGGCGCGTGAGCATGGGCACGATCGGGCTCCACTGGTCGGCCGCCGAGCTGTACACCTCGGCCACGCTCAGGAAGCCGGCGCCGTCGTAGCCCCCGCAGACGAACATCTTGCTGCCCAGGGAGGCGGCGCCGTGCCGGCAGCGCTTGTGGAGCATGCCCGCCGCCGGGTGCCAGGTGGCCGTGTGGGGGTTGTAGCGCTCCACCTGCGGCGGGGAGAGGAGGCGCGGGCCGGTCAGGTCCCGCGGGCCGCGCGCCTGCGCATGCGCGGGGCACGCGCGGAGCCCACCGGCCGGCCCCCCGGCTGCACGCGCATGCCCAGAGCCCACCAGCCGGCCCCCTGGCTGCACGCGCATGCCCAGAGCCCACGTGCCGGGCCCTTTGACTGCACGCGCATGCCCAGAGCCCACGGGCCGGGCCCTTTGACTGCACGCGCATGCCCAGAGCCCACGGGCCGGGCCCTTTGACTGCACGCGCATGCCCAGAGCCCACGGGCCGGCTCCTTGGGCACACGCGCATGCGCAGAGTGCACATGCTCTCAGCCGGGCCCCCCTGATGAGGCGTGCAGGGGTGGTGGGCGGTCACTCTGGCCGATCTCCGTGGACAATTCTCGGTGACACCTTCCGCTCCCCAGGCTGACTGGCATAGGCCCGCTTCTTTCCGTCATTTGTGGGCCCGGGCGCTGTCCCCACTAGGGCTCTAGCCCCACGGGACTCTGATCTCCAATGAACCGCTCAAAACCAAACACCGGAGACGGCGCTACGTCTCAAGCGGTAGAGCACCAGCCTGGGGTACTGGCCTTGTGGCTTGTCTGGTAGTTGACTGGGGATGAGGGAATCTCGGGGCCTCTCCTGCCCAGGCTGACGTCAACCCCCGATCCTCTGCCTCCCTAGTAGCTGGGATGAAGGGCGTGAACCGCGCCCCCTTCCACACCCCCCTCGCCCCCATCCCCGGGGCGCCTGGCTCACTTTGGCTCTACTGCAGCTCTATGTCTGGTCTTTTGGAGGTAAGTCTCTCATGAATCTTGTCTGCCCAGGATGTTTTGGATGATCCTGAGATCTCATCCTCCTGAGTAGCTTAGGATTATGGGAGTCAGCCACCAGCACCTGGCTTCAGAAGCTTTTTTTTTTAAAAAACAACAACAGTAATTCATGGGAATGGGAAGTGTGGCTCTTTTCATAGTGACCCCTGGCTCTTCTTCAGACATTAGGAATTTTAGAGGATGCAAGAGACAGCCTGGAACTTCACTAGGTGATTTTTATCCTGCAAAGGAAGAACTGAAGATTTTCTTTTTTTCCCCCAAATAATTCAAAAATAGGAAGAGCCCAGACTTACAGTGTTGAAGATCTGTAAACCGTCATGGCCTCCGGACACGTATATCCTGCCCTCAAAGATCGTAACCCCAGCAGCGCTGCGGTTTGAGCTCATCGGAGTCACCACTGTCCATCTTCAGAAAAAGAACCAAAAGAGGAAGGGAGTGTAAGATTCAGGGTTTCCCATCTTCCCAAGACAGCTAACAAGTTTTAGGTGAACTGTGCTGTGTCTCTTATGTCCTGGCAATTGCCTTATTACCCCCCCTCCCCTTTTCTTTCCTTCCTTCCCCTTCCCTTTCTTTTTGTGCTGGTATTGGAGCTGGAACTCAGGGCCTGAGCGATGTCCCTTAGCATGTTGTGCTTAAGGCTGGTAAGCTATCACTTGAGTCACACTTCCACATTTATCTTTTTGGTGGCTTATTAGTGCTAAGAGCCTCATGGATTTCCCTTCCTGAGCTGGCTTTAAACTGCAATCTTCAGATCTATCTCGGCCTAAGACTACTGGCATGGGGCTTGAACTCTGGGCCTAGGCGCTGTCCCTCAGCTCTTCAGCTCAAGGCTAGTGCTCTACCACTTAAACTACAGTGCCACTTCCAGTTTTCTGGTGGTTTATTGGAGATAAGAGTTTCAAGGACTTTCTTGCCCGGGCTGGCTTTGAACTGATCCTCAGATCTCAGCCTCCTGAGTAGCTAGGATTACGGGTGTGAGCCACCAGTGTCCCGCAGCTCTCCTATTTTTATCCTGTCAAATAAGCTCCCTATGAGCGGGAGTCCTTACTTGTCCGTCTCAGGTGAGTAGGTCTCCACAGAGTTCAGGGAAGAGTTGCCATCGTAGCCCCCACAGACGTAGATCTGCCCGTCCAGCACGACTGTCCCCATGGCACTGAAACAGATAGGATTGTCATCTCGGGTGAGTCTCACACTTCTTGGGGCAGCCTGTCATGCTAAGAAATCAGTGATGGTCGGCTGATGGCTGATGGCTTCTTTCTAGGATAGACCTAAATCTCCGAGGTAGGAGACAGAGTGAAGGTACTAATCATTCCCGCCCTTCCTGCCCCCAAAGTAGCTTCTACTACAGCGCTGGTCACAACCATCCATTCACGGGATTGTCATCAGCAACCTGCTGCCACACTGTCCTCGGCAGTAGGTTAAGAGCGATGAGTGGGCAGGGCGCTGGTGGCTCATGCCTGTCATCCTAGCTATAAGGCTGAGATGTGAGGCTCATGGTTTGAAGCCGGCCAGGGCAGGAAAATCCACAAGACTCTTTTTTTTTTTTTGGTCCGGTAATGGGGCCTGAACTCTGGGCCTGGGCGCTGTCCCTCTGCTCTTGAGCTCAAGGCTAGCACTATACCACTTGAGCCACAGCGCCACTTCTGGCTTTTTTCTTTTTGCTTATGTGGTGCTGGGGAATCGAACCCAGGGCCTCAGGCATGCAAGGCAAGCGATCTACCACGGAGCCACATTCCCAGCCCCACAAGACTCTTATCTCCAGTAAACTACTCAGGAAAACAAAGAGAACTCTGGGAGTGGCACTATGGCTCAAGTGGTAGAGTGGTAGAGAAAATGCTTAAGGACAGAGCTCAGGCCCTGAGTTCAAGTCTCAGTACTGGCCAAAAAAAAGAAAGAAAAGCAACGAGTGAGCTCTATTTCCTGCCCACAAGACACTTATGTCCTGTCACCTTATGATTCCGGAAATCTAACTGCTACCTCTTCATATTCATGAACCTTCTGGAAATGGGAAAGGTTACCATTTGTGATCATGCAAATGTACCTAACAGGCCCTCAGCGCTAAGTTGTTTAATTACCATTCACTTTACTCGTTCAATTCACTCTGAAAGTTTTTTTGTTCATTTGTTTTTTGGTGCTAGTACTGGGGCATGAACTTAGGGCCCCACACTCTAAGATTAGCTTTTTCCTTCAAGGTTGGTCCTCTATTATTGGAGCTATATTTCTACTACAGGAGTTTTGCTGATTAATTAGAAATAAAAGAGTCTTTCAGAGTTTTCTGTCCAAGGTGGCTTTCAATTGTGATCCTCAGACCCCAGCCTCCTGAGTAGTTAGGATTACAGGTGTGAGCCACCAGTAGCCAGCTAACAGATATGTTTTTGTTACATTTGTGGCTTAATGTATCTCGGTGGGTGATGCTTGTTAGTTGTGCACTTACTGCACACATTGAATCTTCAGATATTTTCAACCCTCACCATACCCTGCAAGAGAGGGAGGAGAACCATTTTTGGTGTACATGTGGCCGGCTGGGTGGCTGGGTGGAGGGTAGCTGGGTTCTCTTCTCAATGCTGCTTTGGGTAAGTATGCCTGGACTTTACATTGTTATTATTATTGTTGTTGTTGTTATTATTGCCAGTCCTGGGGCTTGGACTCAGGGCCTGGGCACTGTCCCTGAGCTGCTTTTTGCTAAGGCTAGCACTCTTATGACTTGAACCACAGCGCCACTTTGGGATTTTTCTGTGTATGTGGTACTGAGGAATTGAACCCAGGGCTTCATGCATGCTAGGCAAGCACTCTACCACTGAGCCACCTTCTTAGCCCCTGCCTAGACATTAAGACACAAGCTCGGCTGGGTCACAGTGGCTAAAATCCGTTATCCTAGCTACTCCAAAGATCAGAGGATCGTGGGTTCAAAGCCTGCACAGGCAGGGAAGAGGATGAGACTCATATCCAACTAACTACTAAAAAACAGCTTTGTGTCTCAAAAGTGGTAGAAGAAAACGCCGATCTGTGTGGACCAGAAGAGTCTGGTTGCAGAAAGTTCCAGAGTGGTGGTCTGGAAGAGGGGAAGAGCTGGGAGGGAAAAGATGGCAGAGAGTAGGCTGCGGTTAACTGGCAGGATGGAGAGCTCCGTGAAGTCAAAAGAGTCTCAAGAACCTTTGAGCTGTAATTCAAAAGGGGAAATGGAACTGGACCAGTTACTGTTAATAGTGGGGCGTTAACCAGAACCAGAGAGAGGGGGCGACCCGTGGGACTCTCTTCCCAGACGATCGATGTTCCAGACCCACAGACATCAAAGCAAGAACGTGGCCCAGAAGACACAAAAGGAAGGCCAAACTGCTCAATGTCAAAGCCAAAAATAAAAGCTGCTTATTGGATCGAGTCATTCCATGACAGAAAAGATCTGTGAGGAAAAGTCTGGGAGCTTGTTCTTAGGACAAGATCTTACATACTTTTTTTTTTATTTCTGCCATGATCTCACTCCAATCCTCTGTAAATCTGTTTTTATTGCTACAGAGGCAGATTCCTCCCAGTTCCCGGCCACGTGCTAATACAGCCAAATATAGACTGCGTGAATCACTTCTATGTGGTAAAGGACTTCCTCACTAACTTTCTTCCTTCTAACTTCCTCCAAACGCATCCTGTCATTTGATCTGTTTATTTTTTTCTTCCCAGTCATGTGATCCTATGAGCAGACCTAGAGGCATATAGGAAAGAGGAAAAATACTTCCACCATAGAAATTACGAAGATGAGCCCAGTACCAGTTGCTGATGCCTGTAATCCTAGCTACTCAGGAGGCTGAAATTTGAGGATCCTGGTTCAAAGCCAGCCCAGGAAGGAAAAGTCCGAGAGGCTTGGATCTCCAATAAACTACCAAAAGAGCTGGGGAGATGATGCTGTGGCCCAAGTGGTAGAGTGCTGGCCTCGAGCCAGAGAAGCTCAGGGACAGCACCTTGGCCCTGAGTTCAAACCCTGGGATTAGCAGAAAAGAGTTGTGGGGAGGGGAGGAGGAGGGGAGAAATTGGGGGGCAGGGGGGGGGGAAGGGAAGGAAGAAAAACACCTTGGATTTTTTTTTTTGGGGTCCGGTCGTGGGGCTTGAACTCTGGGCCTGGGCGCTGTCCCTCAGCTCTTCAGCTCAAGGCTAGCACTCTACCACTTGAGCCATAGCACTACTTCCCGCTTTTTTTTTTTCTGCTTATGTGGTGCTAAGGAATTGAACCCAGGGCCTCATGCATGCAAGGCAAGTGCTCTACCACTGAACCACCTTCCCAGCCCCACACCTTGGATTTTTCATCGCTAGTAAATCCTCCTTACTTTTAAGTTTCAACTTAGATCCCATCTCGTTCCTAAAATCCTTCCAGTCCAGTTTCTTTCCCTTCTCATAATATATATATATATACACTTATATATATATATATTTATATATATAAAGACCACAAGTCTGTCTTTTGTCTCCCCAAGTTCCTCAGAAGTCAAGGCAGGTAATTAAGGTTTAAATGGGGGAGAGAGGGTTCATTCCCAGTGGGTGCCAGCAGCCGGCTGGGCGTCCCCAAGCCAAAGTTTGCATTTTGTGGGTGTTTTTGTTGGTCTTAGGGCTTGAACTCTGGGAGTGGGCGCTGTCCCTAAGCTCTTCAGCTCAAGGCTAGGACTTTACCACTTGAGCCACAGCGCCACTTCTGGTTTTCTGGTGGTTCATTGGAGATAAGAGTCTCATGGACTTTCCTGCCCAGGCTGGCACTGAACCTCGATCCTCAGATCTCAGCCTCCTGAGTAGGTAGGATGACAGGCGTGGCACTCGGGTCAAGCGTGGATTTTACTTGGTGCTCAGTGTGTTATGCGGCTTCCGGAGTACCTTCTCTTGCTGTTCATGCTCCCCACTCGCGTCCACGTGTCTGTCTCTGGGTTGTAGGCCTCCACGGTGCTCAGCCTCAGCTGGCCGTCGTAGCCTCCGATGGCATAGAGTAGGCCATTCACCACGGCCACGCCCACGCGGCTGCGGGCTGTCGTCATCGGATGGCACTTGTCCCAGCGGTTGGCGATAGGATCGAATACTTCCACCACATTCAGGGAATCACCTGCATAAAAATTTGCTACTCAAATTAAAACAAAGGAGACCGCTTGTTTAGATCATAGCTGTTGGGCATGGAGCATACTAGCTACTCGGGAGGCTAGGATTTGAGGATTGCCATTGGAAGCCAGCCCTAGCAGAAAAGTCTGGAGACATTTTTTTTTTTTTCCATGTGGGTCCTGGGGCTTCAAATTTACTTTTATTATTATTATTATTTTTTAGTCGTGGGTCTTGAACTCTGGGCCTGGGGGCTGTCCCTCAGCTCTTTAGCTCAAGGCAAGTGCTCTACCACTTGAGCTACAGCGCCACTTCCGGTTTTCTGATGGGTTTTTTTTGGAGATAAGAGTCTCATGGACTTTCCTGCCCGGGCTGGCTCTGAACTGTGATCCTCAGATCTCAGCCTCCTGAGTAGCTAGGATGACAGGCGTGAGCCACTAGCACCCGGCTTGAGCTTTTGTGCACAGTGATAGCACTCTACCAACTGAGCCACAGATCTACTTCTGCTTTTGGGGGATAATTGGTCATGAAGAGTCTTACAGATCTGCTCAGGCTGGCTTTGAACTGTGATCCTCAGATCCAACCCTCCTGAGTAGCTAGGATTACAGGCCCGAGCCACCAGTACTCAGGTCCTGTTAGACTTTTGTGGGGGGGTCTGCCATAGGGCTTGACTTCGGGGTCTGGCAGCTGTCCCTGAGCTCAAAGCTCAAGGCTGGCACACTACCACTTTAAACTATACCACTGCTTCTGTTTTTTTTTTAGTGATTAATTGCAGATTAAGAGGCTCATGGGCTTTCCTGCCTGGGCTGGCTTCAGACTGTAATCCTCAGATCTCAGCCTCCTGAGCAGCCAGGATGACAGGCGTGAGCCACCAGCACCCCAGCCTCCAATCTGCCTCTTTTAAGGTCTCTTTCACACTGACATTCAGATTCAGAGAGTATGAATACGGGACAATCCTGTCCAGTCTAGAGGGGCAAGAAGTGTCAGCCCAGAGCAGAGGAACCAGAAGGGCCAGGCTGGGCGACTGGGCGTGTGCACCCAGGGAACCCCACTCAGGGCTCTGCAAATGGGAGGCGTAAGATACCTGCTGAGTTGAGGCCTCCCACAGCATAGATGAGCCCGGCGATGGAGGTGCAGCAGCGAGGACGAGTTCTGAAGGCTGGCAGATGGGGCCGGCGCTCTGGCATGAGGTGATAGTCCTTTGCTTCATCTACCAGGTCCCTGGGATACAGCCAGGATGCTGTGACAGCGGGTATCCTGGCCCCTCCCTCCTGAGCCCCGCCCCTCCCCCGAGCCCCGCCCCTTCCTTCTGAGCCTCCCTCTAGTCTGAGCCACAGCTACCTTTAGCCACACCCCCAGCCTCACTTCCTCCTGGACCAGCCACCCCAACCAGGGTGAGAAAACAAAGGAGAGCTGAATCTGTGCCCAAAAAAGAGGGGGGGGGGGGGGAATCCTATGACAAGCCATATGGAAGATGGATTTTTCATTTCCTCCCAGTGCTGGGGCTTGAACTCAGGTCCTGGGTGCTGCCCCTGGGCTTTTGTGCTCAATGCTAGTCTCTACTACTGACCTCCACTTGGGCGTTTTCGGTGATGAACTGGAGATAAAAGTCTCATGGAATTTCCTGCCCAGGCTGGCTTCGAACCCACTACCCTCAGATCCCAGCCTCCCTAGTAGTTAGGATTATGGGCGTGAGCCACTGGCGCCCGGCAAGAAGGACTTTTTTTTTTTTCTTTTTCTTTTGTTCAGTCCTGGGGCTTGAACTCAGGGCCTGGGTGCTGTCCCTGAGCTTCTTTGTGTGTGCTTAGCGGTCTACCACTTGAGCCCACAGTGCCACATCAACAGAAAAAGCCAGAAGTGGCGCTGTGGAATCAAACCTAGGGCTTCACCCATGCTAGGCACTGTCCAGAGTCTGGACCTGGGCGCTGTCCTGAATCTCCAAGCCTTGCTCACCTGCATTTGTGACAGCAGCGCACCAGATCATCCTGCTGCACCCGGTCTGACAGGAACTGAGGCCTGCACAGAGGCAGGCGGATATTGGCTAGCAGCTCGGGCAGGTAAGGACTCCTCTGCTCCCGGTCATATCTGATCCAGGCTAGTGCAGCTTCAAAGACCTGTCACGACAAAGAACGGACCCAGGGCTGGGAAGGTGGCTTAGTGGTAGAGTGCTTGCCTAGCCTGTGTGAAGCCCTGGGTTCCATTCCTCAGTACCACATACATTGAAAAGGCTGGAAGTGGTGCTGTGGCTCAATGGGTAGAGTGCTAGCCTTGAGCCAAAGAAGCTCAGGGACAGCGCGTAGGTTCTGAGTTCAAGCCCCAGGACTGGCAAAAAGAAAAAACATTCCTTGGGGCTGGGAAGGTGGCTCAGTGGTAGAGCGCTTGCCTTGCATGTATGAGGCCCTGGGTTCGATTCCTCAGCACCACATAAGCAAAAAGAAAAAAAAGCCGGAAGTGGCACTGTGGCTTAAGTGGTAGAGCGCTAGCCTTGAGCTGAAGAGCTGAGGGACAGCGCCCAGGCCCAGAGGTCAGGCCCCACGACCGGACCCAAAAAAAAGAAAAAGAAAAAACATTCCTTGACAGTCCTGAGTAACTTGTATGTGGCATCTTCTGACTTTCTGCATCACAGTAGAATTCCTGTTTCTCTTCTGTCCCTTTTTTTGTTGTTTTTGTCTATTGTGGGGCTTGAACTCTGGCCCTGGGCACTGTCCCTCAGCTCTTCAGCTCAAGGAGAGCACTCTACCACTTGAGCCACAGCACCATTTCCGGTTTTCTGGTGGTTCACTAGAGGTAAGAGTCTCATGGCCTTTCCTGCCCAGGCTGGCTTTGAACCGTGATCCTCAGATCTCAGCCTCCTGAGTAGCTAGGATTACAGGCGTGAGCCACTAGCGCCTAGCTCATTGCTCCTTTTTTTTTTTTGGTCCGTCGTGGGGCTTGAACTCTGGGCCTGGGCACTGAAGAGCTCAAGGCTAGCCCTCTATCACTTGAGCCACAGCACCACTTCCGGCCTTTTCTGCTTATGTGGTGCTGAGGCATCAAACCCAGGGCCTCATGCATGCGAGGCAAGCACTCTACCACCGAGCTACCTTCCCAGCCCTATTGTTATTTTAGATGTGATATATGTTGGGGTTACATTTACATAGTCAGGTGATAAGCACATTTGCTTTCTCACAGTGTCATGGGTGCTGTCATTCTCTCCTATTCCCTCCCTCCCATCTCCACCCATGAGTTGCATAGTTCACTTTCATCAATGTCCAGTAAGCTCCTCCCTGCACCAGCTCTTTCTCTAGCCAGGCTGGTTCCTCACATCTTTACATCTCTCTGCACGGACTTCCAATCCCAGGGCTTGAACTCTGGGCCTGGGAGCTATTCCTGAGCTTTTAGGCTCAGGGCTAGCGCTCTACCACCTTCAGCCACAGCTCCACTTCCAGTCTTTAGGGTAGTTAATTGAAGAGGCACACATCCTTTTCTGCCCAGGCTGGCTTTGAACTACGATCCTCAGATCTCAGCCTCCTGAGCAGGTAGGATGACGGGCGTGAGCCACCGGGCGCTTGGGCCTGACCTGTTCTTCTGACTTCACGTTCAGCTCGTCTCGAGACACCAGCTCAAGCACGTCTTCCAAGGGCAGGGCCAGGAACTCTTCTGACATAGACACTGCCACAAAGTGCTGGTGAATGAAGCTGTTGGCCGCGTCATAAAGCACGGCACACATCATCGTCTCCGCAAACTGGCGCACACCCAGGCAATTTTTTGGGTGGAGCCTGTCGGTGTTAAGAAAAGTTGAAGAGAAAAAAAAAAAAAGAATTAAGAAGGAAGAATGTTATTTCCAATCATTCTCAGCGTGGTTCTGAATAGCACCACAGAAGAAAAGCAAATTTGGTTCTGAGTTTCTTTTTCATTTTGGTGCTGGTCCTGGGACTTGAACTCAGGGCCTAGACGCTCTATCCCTTAGCCTTTTTGATCAATGTTGGTGCTCTATCACATGAGCCACAGCTCTACTTCTGGCTTTTTGGTGGTGAATTGGAAATAAGAGTCTCATGGACTTTCCTGCCTGGGCTGGCCTTAAACTTTGATCCTCTGATCTCAACCTCTTAAGTAGTTGGGATTACAGGCGTGTTCCACTGATGCCTAGGTTCTTCAGAATAGTAATAACCCTGAAAGTTTCTCTCATTTTGCAGATAGAAAAAGGAGGCAGAAGGAGACCAAGAAATATGTCCCTGGCCCCCTGACCAGCAAGCCTTTTCTGTTCCTGATCACAGTGGTTTTCCTCAAGTTTCTGACAATTACAGAGCTCCTATGCTTCTCAAGGGCACGTGGAAAGGGGAGCATTCTGCGTCAGGCTCAAGGAAGAAGTATCTCATGAACACAAACAGTGGGGTTGGAGGCGTGGCTCAGGTGGTAAGAGTGCCAACCAATGAGTGAAACCATCAGATACCAAGTTTGAGTTCCTGTCTTCCTCCAAAGGTAGGGGGGGAAAAGCCAGGCACTGGAGGCTTTCACTTATAATCCTAGCTACTTAGGAGGCCGAGATCCAAGGATCACATTTCAGAGCCAGTCCACAGGACCTTTTTTTTTGGTTAGTCACGGGGCCTGAACTCTGGGCTTGGGAGCTGTCCCTGTACTCCTCAGCTCAAGGTGAGTGCTCTATCGCTTGAGCCACAGTGCCACTTCCGGTTTTCTAGTGGTTTTTATTGAGATGAGTCTCACGGGACTTCTGCCTGGGCTGGTTTTGAACTGTGATCCTCAGATTTCAGCCTCCTAAGGAGCTAGGATTACAAGCAAGAGCCACAGGCAGCGCCCAGTTGTCCTCAGGACTCTTATCTCCAATTAATTACTTAGCCAGCAGGGCAGAAAAAGTCCATGAGATCTTTATCTCCAATGAAAAAGCCTAAAGCCAGAAGTAGCGTTGTGGCTGAAGTGGTAGGAGTGCTAGCCTTGAACAAAAGAAGCTCAGGGACAGAGGCTAGGCCCTGAGTTCAAGCCCCAAGATTGGCCAAAAGCAAAACAACAACCACAAAAAAACTCCCCAAACAGAAATAGAAATGGTAACTACTAAAGCTACAACAGAGAGCCATGTCTTTGGGCTTGTGGTAGGGAAAAAAGAGAATGAGTTGTGGGGAAAATCTAGACTCAAAATATCAGGCTTTATGTTCAGGTACTTGTTCCTAAAACGTTGGTGAGATGTGTAAAAATCGCACTGATCTCAGTCACTGTCCAGCATCTTTTAGGCTAAGGTAACGCCTGGGAAGTGCTGACAGCGATGGCTTCCGATGCCCCTAGATGGCGCTGCTGCTCCCCATGGGGGTGTAAGAGGGGCCAGCTCAAAAGCCAGAGAGAGGTTGGCTATAAGAAGGGATGAAGCCGGGCGCAGGTGGCTCACACCTGTCATCCTAGCTACTCAGGAGGCTGAGATCTGAGGATCATGAGTCAAAGCCAGCCAGGGCAGGAAAGTCCATGAGACTCTTATCTCCAATAAACCACCAGAAAACCGGAAGTGGCGTTGTGGCTCAAGTGGTAGAGCGCTCGCCTTGAGCTGAAGAGCTGAGGAACAGTGTTCAGGCCCAGAGTTCAAGCCCCATGACCGACAAAAAAAAAAAAAAAAAGAAGGGATGAGGTTTAGTAGGGCAGAGCTGAGGTGGAGGGATTGGCCTGTCAGCCAGGGAGAGCAGTCCACGGTCCACACCCTTCTGCTTTCTCTCAGTCTGGGTGTGGCCCACCACTGAGTCCTTCCCCAAGTCTAGAGTAGTCCAGAGGCCGGTACCTTATGATTAAGAACTCTAACTACTGATGGTGTAGAAGAGACTTCCGATAGGATCAATTGAAACATCTGACTTGGGCTGGGAAGGTGGCTCAGTGGTAGAGCACTTGCCTTGCATGCATGAAGCCCTGGGTTCCATTCCTCAGTACCACATAAACACAAAAAGTCGGAAGTGGCGCTATGGCTCAAAGTGGTAGAGTGCTAGCATTTGAGCAGAAAGAGCTCAGGAACAGTTCCCAGGCCCTGAATTCAAGCCCCAGGACAGGCACAAAACAACAACAACAACAACAACAAAAAACCTACAACAAAATGACAAGTGGCTGGCTTTAAGGCTCAAAATGGTAGAGCACTAGCCCCTAGCAAAAAAAATCTCAGGGACAGCCCCCAGGCCTTGAGTTCAAGCCCCATCACTAACAATCAATCAAATCAATCAATCAAAGAAAGTTGAGAACCTTTGCCAAGCTCTGGAAATAGGGACGTGACTCTTCGGTGTTACCCTACAAAGGATTCTAACACTTGCTCCTAGTGGATGAGGAGGATAGAGAATTGCAGGAGGTGAAATTTAGGTTGGCTCTTCAAGAGCTGAAGTAGACAAAGGAATGGAGATCAAGAAATCCAAGGAGGGTATTTAGGAGGCCGAAATCTGAGGACTGCAGTTTGAAACCAGCCTGGGCAAGAAAGTCTGTGAGACTTGTATCTCTAAATAACCGGTGAAAAGCCAGAAGTGGAGCTGTGGTGTGATTGTGTAGAAGACAGTAGGAGACAGTGTTCAGGCCTGAGTTCAAGAGCCGGCACACACGCACGCACGCACGCGCGCACACACACACACACACACACACACACAACATTCAAGAGGAGTAAGTATGTAAACAAGGACAGAGATGGGCAGGGAATAAATGGGAAGTGCTGAATGAACCACTTAGTAAGGTAGCAGGTAAATGATTGGCTGCTCAGACTGGAGAAGGGAGATCAGAGGAGTTAATGTCCGGGGTGGTAGGAGGAACTATATAATTGATCAAAATGGTGGGCTCAGCTCCAGTACTAATTATTTTTTTTCTTTTGCCAGTCCTGAGGCTTGAACTCAGGGCCTGGGCACAGTCCCCAAGCTTCTTTTGCTTAAGGCCAGCACTCTACCACTTGAGCCACAGCGCCACTTCGGGCTTTTTCTGTCTATGTGGTACTGAAGAATTGAACCCAGGGCTTCATGCATGCTAGGCAAGCGCTCAATCACTAAGCCATGTTCCCAGCCCCTATGTGTGTGTGTGTGTGTGTGTGTGTGTGTGTGTGTGTGTGTGTGTGTGTGTGTGTGTGTGTGTGTGTGTGTGTGTGTGTGTGTGTGTGTGTGTGTGTGTGTACGGGCTTCATACATGCTAGGCAAGCGCTCAATCACTAAGCCATGTTCCCAGCCCGTGTGTGTGTGTGTGTGTGTGTGTGTGTGTGTGTGTGTGTGTGTGTGTGTGTGTGTGTGTGTGTACGCGTGTGCCAGTCCTGGAGCTTCAAACTGGGGCCTGGGCAGTGTCTCCCAGTTTCTCTGGCTTAAGGCTAGCATGCTACTACTTAAGCTACAGCCCTACTCCTGGTTTTTTCAGTGTTTAATTGGAAATGAAGAGTTTCATGGACCTTCTTGCCTGGGCTGGCTTAGAATGTCGATCCTCAGATCTCAGCCTCCTGAGGAGCTTACAGGCATGAGCCACTGGTGCCCGGCTCCAGTACCAATTTTAAGAAAAGCCATCTCTACAGAGTGGCTTTCCTAGTTCACTCCTTTGGTAAAACTAGGGGTACAGCAAAGAGTCAGCGGGCGGGTAGGGGGGCTCCAGGAGAGACGTGTCCCCCCCCACGTGACCTCACCGTTCCCGGAGGAACGTGCAGCAGGCGTCTTTGATGCTCTGTAGCTGCAGGAAGCTCGCCCCCATCAGCAGCGCCTGGACGTTCTGCTGGTCGATGGCGAGGTTGCCATTGTAAGCAAAGTTGATCAGAGCTTCCAGGGCGCTAGAAGACAAGCGAGAAGGACGTGAGAAGCTCGTCAGAGATGGTGAGCCTAGGTCCACAGGTGACTCGGGACCCAAGCGAACTGGAGGAGAGATGAGCCTTGTTCCCAAATCCATTGAACCTATGGCCTTTGAGAGTCTAAGTAGAACAAACGCTTCTCATGGACTTTCCTGCCCGGGCTGGCTTTGAACTGTGATCCTCCGATTTCAGCTGCCTGAGTAGCTAGGATTATAGGCGGGAGCCACCCACACATATAACTACACACACACACACACAATCAATCAATCAATCAATCAATCAGTCTTCATGTAACCTAGTCTCAGGGCCATGGGCTGAGATTATCATCTGTTTACCCGCCACCTACTGTACGCGGAGTGGTGTGACTGGTACTGCAGCCCTGGTGCAGGCTGGGTGCGTGGCTGGACCCACCCCAGGAGGCAGCCGAAGGCTGAGTGTTGGAGTTGCATACCTTGGGTCCATTCCTTGCATCACGATCTCGTCCTGCTTGCACTCCATCATGTCGTTAGTAAACATGGCGTGGAAGTAGGGGATGGAGGCTGCTAAGACAATCCGGTGGGCGCTGAATTTGTGGTCCCCAATCTGCAAGCAAGGCAAAAAGACAAAAGTCAGATAGTGAGGGACACAGGCAAAAACCAACAACAACAACAAAAAACCAACCTGCCATCCGGGCACTCATAGGATCGTGGTTTGAAGCCAGCCTGGGAAGGAAAATCTGTGAGATTCTTACCTCCCAACTGACCAGAGGCCAAGTCTTTCTCCAATCTGTATCAAACTCTCACTGACACATGCCTGGAGAATTCTCTAAAGTGATTTCCAACAAGTGCCAAAAAGCTGTTTCCTTCCATATGTTTGACCATGTATAGCTCTGAGCTATGGAAACATTTCTACTTAACTCAAGGCCTGGGCGCTGTCCCTGAGCTCTTTTGCTCAAGGCTAGGGCTCTACTGCTTTGAGCCACAGCACCACTTCCAGTTTTTGAGTGGCTCACTGGAGGTTAAGAGTCTCGTGGGGACTTTCCTGCCTGGGCTGGCTTCGAACCTCACATCTCAGCCTCCGGAGTAGCTAGGATGACAGGTGTGAGCCACTGGCGCCCAGCTTGTTGAGTTTCAGGTTTCTTTTCTTGTTTCTTTTTGTGCTGGTAGCTAGAGCTCAAACTCAGGGCCTTGTGTTTTCCTTTGGCTTTTTTGCGCAAGGCTGGTGCTCTGCCATTTGGGACTCATGACTTAGTCTCTAGAAGAGTTGGGGAGTAGAAGTGGATGCAACTATATCTAGCTCTTTGCTTGTCCATTTTTGTTTTGGGCTAGTCCTGGGTCTTGAACTCAGGGCCTGGAGGTGTCTAAGCTTCTTTTGCTTAAGCACAGAGCCACTGCTGGCTTTTTCTGAGTAGTTTATTAGAGGTAAGAGTCTTACGGACTTTCCTGCCTGGGCTGACTTTCACCTATGATTGTCAGATCTCTGCCTCCTGAGTAGTGAGGATTACAGCCATGAGCCATCAGCGCTTAGCCTTGCTTCTCCGTTTTATAGACTCATTCGTGTACACATCAACCTCAAAGTCTTTATGACTCTCAATCACGTGTCTCTGTAAAATGATAGATGGCTATTTATCCCTCACTTTCGGCGTCCCTTGGGGCCCTGCTGAAAGCTCAGCCTTAATCCTACTGATCCCAAAGCTATTTATTCTGTCTGGGCACGTAAGCTATTGATTGTGTGAACGTTAAGAGTACTAGTAGCAAAGTGTTTTCCAGCAAAGAGAAATCTATTCTGGGCTCTATGTTATTTTTGCTTTCTTTGGGAGCCCCATCACAGATGCCACCCAATTCAGAAATTCCTCAGCTGCCTTTACTGCTTGAATAAGCAGTTGATTGGATATCAAGCTTCACCTGCCTACCTGTCAGATACATTATTATCCTTGTGGATGCAAACGTAGCACAAGGCAGGCTGGGAATGGGAAGTTTCCCAAGGGGAAGGATAAGCGATGTGTGGTGTGTGTGTGTGAGCGCGTGTGTATGATATGTATGTGTATGTTACGTGAAATCTGGGGCAGCTGATGAGGAACTCAGGTGACTCTGGAGATGGGCATCTATTCCTGCTCAGAAAAGAAACTGAACCTTGGTCCTACAGATCTCAGCCCCCTGAGTAGCTAGGATTACAGGAATGGGCCACTGTGCCTGGCCGTAAATAGGTAGTCTTGATGGTTACACAATAGTGTAAATGTGTTTATAGCCACTTCATCAAATGGTTAAAAATGGCGGTCAGAAGATGGTGGCTCATGCCTGTAATCTTAGCTAGTGAGGCTGAGAGCTGAGGATCACAGTTCAAAGACAGCCGGAGCAGGAAAGTCCATGAGACTCTTATCTCCAATTAAGCACCCCAAAAAGGCCAAATGTAGAACTGAGGTTCGAGTGGAGTGGCAGAATGCTACTTGAACACAAAAGCTCAAGGAGTGCACCCATTCCCTGAGTTCAAGCCCTAGGACTGGAATACACACACACACACACACACACACACACACACACACACACACACACACACACACACACACACACACACACACACACACACACACACACACACACACACACACCAGTCAGACCATGGTGGCTCACACCTGTAATCCTAGCTACTCAGGAGGCTGACAACTGAGGATCATGGTAGTAAAGTCTGTGAGACTATGATCTCCAATGACCCACCAAATAGCCAGAGTGGAGGTGTGGATCTAGAGGTGTAGTATTTAAAAAGCCAAGTGAGTGCGCAAGGCCCTGAGGAGTTCAAGCTCCAGGACCACGACACAAACACACATAAAAAATGGCTAAAAGAAACCAGGCACGGGCTGGGAAGGTAGCTGTAGAGCGCTTGCCTTGCATGCCTGAGGCCCTGGGTTCGACTCCTTAGCACCACATAAGCAAAAAGAAAAAAGCCGGAAGTGGCGCTGTGGCTCAAGTGGTAGAGCGCTAGCCTTGAGCTGAAGAGCTGAGGGACAGCGCCCAGGCCCAGAGTTCAGGCCCCAGGACCGGACAAAAAAAAAAAGAAACCGGGCGCTGGTAGATCAGGCCTATAATCCTAGCTACTCAGGAGGCTGAGATCTGAGGACTGCGGTTCAAAGCCAGCCCGGGCAAGAAAGTCTGTGAGACTCTATTTTTTTTTTTGGTCCAGTCGTGGGGCCTGAACTCTGGGCCTGGGCACTGTCCCTCAGCTCTTCAGATCAAGGCTAGCGCTCTACCACTTGAGCCACAGCACCACTTCCGGCTTTTTTCATTTTGCTTATGTGGTGCTGAGGAATCGAACCCAGGGCCTCAAGCATGCAAGGCAAGTGTTCTACCACTGAGCCACCTTCCCAACCCCTGTGAGACTCTTATCTCCAATAAACCACCAGAAAACCAGAAGTGGCGCTGTGGGTCAAGTGGTAGAGGGCTCGCTTTGATCTGAAGAGCTGAGGGACAGTGCCCAGGCCCAGAGTTCAAGCCCCACCACTGACCAAAAGAGTTCAGGGACAGTACCCAGGCCCCGAGTTCAAGTCCCAGGACTGGCACGTACCACCACCACCACCACACACACACCCCAAAATGCTTTAGGAAAACAGAAGAGGGAATGTTTGATCATTTCTCTCCTCTCTTTCTCTTGAGAAAACAAGAAAGGAGCTCTGAAGTTTGGACAGGACGGCCTAGCAGATAGGAGCCGAAGGAATATTAGAGCTAAGGCCTTGACCATGCAGAACACAGGACCTAAAGACACAGCCAGCTGTTTGAGAGGGACCTTCGACGGTCAGGGGAGAAGAGCAGAGATGGGCAGCTGTGGAGGTCTGAGAATCAAAAGAAAAACCAAACAACAACTGGGGGGCCTGGGGAAGCCAGTGCGGACCGGCTGTCAGCAACAGAAATCCTTAAGCTTCTCCCTCCTCTTGTGTGTGTCAGCAGGGACAGCGGTGGATTTCTATGAGCAGCTTAGAATAATCAGAGGTTCAGTCAAATCAGCAGTTCTTTCCTAAGTCCTCCCCAAACCGGCCACCGGCGGCTGCACGTATGCGCTCACGACTTCTAGATAGCTTGATGGTACAAAGGGCTAGTCCACAGACATGGGGGGGGGGGGGGGGGGGGAAGAAAAGACAGGCTTTTCCCAGTACAAAGAGAGGCATCTTTAAAAACTACCAAGAGCGGCTGGGAAGGTGGCTCAGTGGTAGAGCGCTTGCCTTGCATGCATGAGGCCCTGGGTTCGATTCCTCAGCACCACATAAGCAGAATAAAGCTGGAAGTGGCGCTGTGGCTCAAGTGGTAGAGCGCTAGCCTTGAGCTGAAGAGCTGAGGGACGGCGCCCAGGCCCAGAGTTCAGGCCCCATGACTGGCAAAAAAAAAAAAAAAAAAATACTACCAAATACTACCAAGAACTGGGCACTGGTGGCTCATGCCTGTCATCCTAGCCACTCAGGAGACTGAGATCAGAGGATCACGGTTCAAGACTAGCCTGGACAGGAAAGTCCATGAAACTCTAATCTCTAGTAAACCACCAGAAAACCCAAAGTGGAGCTGTGGCTGACGTGATAGAGCACTTGCCTTGAGCTGAAGAGCTGAGGGACAGTGCCCAGGCCCAGAGTTCAAGCCCCACAACAGAAAGAAAGGAAGAGAGAGAGAGAGAAAGGGAAGGAAGGAAGGGAAGGAAGGAAGGAAAGGTGTCATGAATGCAAAGTCTAGAAGACCAACTGGGGAAAAGCCAACATCGTCATGTTGGCTGACCCAGAGTGGTATCCCATCTGAACAAGCTCCAAGATGAATCAGGGCAGTTCGAGCCCTGCCTCTGCTCCATATGATGAAGCAGGCAATCTGACAGCAGATGTAAAAGCGTTGCTTCCCCCAGCACAGAATGGCTTTGTGGGATCTCAGCTAAGGGACAAATCCCCTCAAAGCTGTAAGCCTTAGAGGTCTGTTTGTTTTAATCTACACAATAAATGGCTTGGCTGGAGGACTTCTGCAGACTCCTTTAATATGATTATTCAAGCTCTATCATTACCCTCCGTGCGTTCACTCACAGCAGTACACGTCCCCAGAATGGCACGCACCAACAAGTCCTTACTCCATTTCCTAATAGGCCTTCTCTACCTGCTCTTTCATCACAAAGCCAGCGGTAAGAAGAAATGGAGCAAGACTCCAGGCTCAAAGTGCACCTCAGTTTCGGTGTTCATGAATTGGCGCTGAGCAAAAGTAAGTGATCAAAGGGAAGTGTTCCGGGGGCCCGGCCTGGTGACTCACGCCTGTGCTCAATGTAGCTCCTTGAGAGGGGCGATCAAAAGGATTGTGGTGAAGCCGGGCGCCCGTGGCTCCCACTTGTCATCCTAGCTACTCAGGAGGCTGAGATCTGAGGATCACGGTTCCAAGCCAGCCCGGGCAGGAAAGTCCGTGAGACTCTGATCTCCAAGGAACCACCAGAAAACTGGAAGTGGTGCTGTGGCTCAAACTGGTAAGCTACTAGCCTTGAGCAAAAGAGCTCAGGGATAGCACTCAGGCCCTGAGTTCAAGCACTACACTGACCAAAAAAAAAAGAAAAAAGTAAAGAGATGCAAAGTTCAAGTCCCAGTACAGGCACCAGAA